GACTGTACAGTTTCCGGTGTTGTTTATATGCAATAATGAAAATGGCATCCATACAGGGAACACTAATGTATCAGACACTATTCTGGATGCTCTTCTGTACTAGACCATCCTTTCTCTTTCTAACACATGCAACTGCAAACTATGTGTTTGAGACACCCCTTTCCAGATGAGGGACAGGCTTGGAGGACTAAGTGACTTGCCCAAGGTCCCCAGAGCCAAGTAGATTCCAAGCTCCTTCTACTAAACTACGTTGTCTCCAGGCCTGTATGTAAATCAATTAAATAAACATTTTCTTATGTAGTCCCCATTCTGTCAACCTGAGTCATCAGAAGTACCAAAGAAATGTTCCAATCCTGAACTAGACTGGTGAAGTAAATGAGGCCTGAATTAAACCTACTTTCAGATTTGTGTCCTTTGGTTTTACCTTCATTCATGTCTTTATTTTTTTTTACATCTTTATTGGAGTATAATTGCTTTACAATGGTGTGTTAGTTTCTGCTTTATAACAAAGTGAATCAGTTATACATATACATATGTTCCCATATCTCTTCCCTCTTGCGTCTCCCTCCCTCCCACCCTCCCTATCCCACCCCTCCAGGCGATCACAAAGCACCGAGCTGATCTCCCTGTGCTATGCGGCTGCTTCTCACTAGCTATCTACCTTACGTTTGGTAGTGTATACATGTCTTTATAAAATACAAATATATGGTATTCATGCTTCCCTGATTCATCCTTAAATCAAATCTCTTTTATCCTTGTATACTTATATCAAAGATTTATAGGTACTAGTGGTCTGTTCTGCAAGAATCAAATTAAACTCAAAATATAGAAAGCTACTGAAAAATAAACTCAAATGTATAAGCATCTTGTCATCTGCACTGCAGCGAGGGCTGCACTTTGCTCAGAAAGGCAGGTATGAGGTATGCTGAGGTATGCTGGCAAGTGGACTTAAAAAAGCAGAGGTGTTTGCTCTTTCCTTAGACATTCATGGAAATCATAATAGTAGCTAAATTAAGAGGACACTGGAATGAAGCTAATTTTTTTTATAGTTCATAAAAGGGCCCCCTCCCTGTCCCTGTTAAATCTTTTACCTTTGGAAAAGGAAAGATGCAAAGAATTCAGCAAACACTTAAAACTTTTCTTGTTGGAAAACTGGGTAAAAAAAATAAAGATCTATTTTGCGAAATTTGTCCCACAAAGAAAATTAGTATATATTAACTTTTGCCATATGATACTGAAAATGACCATCAGTGATGAGCATATTTGACCTAGCTGTTGGTTCTCTTTGCTCTAATAAGTTAACCTGACTAAGGAAGCCCAGGATCCATAATTCCCAGCAGAGCTATTTTTGTTCTGTCTGTGGGTGGGTCTAGTACAGCTTGTCAGTGTCTCCTCCGCCACATCCTGGCACCACTTAATTAACGTTAAAAGGTTTAGTCACCCAAATGTTAACAAGCAGTGAACTCTGCTGCACAGGGGCTAAAAAAGCAGAACTTTATTAGCCTATTACTAATTTTTAAAGTGTAACCAACCCCAACTGTGATTCCACTTTGCAGGGCCACCCCTAGTCCTTTGGGCCAATTAGAAAAACAGGTGCCCGCTATGGGCTGAGGGAAGTCTCACACACGCAAGGCTTGATGAGAGACAGAGATGGATTACAGCTCTCTCTTGAACCCTTGGCCAGACACCTGTGTGCACTCCAACAAACTGCTTAACCATATATGAAGGCCCTGCCTTCACTCCCTATCTATCTGCTTAGTAACAAGATAAGGAGGCACCAACAAATACCCATTTGCTTCCTTCATTTTATCTTGGACAAGGCTTGAATTCTACAAGGATATGATCAAGTATGGTTCCTAATATTTTAACAAATAATTCATCTAGCCCAATGATAGTCAACCCTAGTACTTATTAGAATCACCTGGTGGAAGTTTAAAAAATACCGATGTAAAAAAAAACAAAACAAAAAACCGATGTCCAGGACTCACTCTAGTCTAGAGGTGAGAGTCCCAGTGCATCAGAATTTCTAGGGGTGGGACCAAGGCACGAATATTTTAAAACACACAGACACACACACACACACACACACACACACACACACCACAATAGCAGCAATACACATTCGGGTGATCCTGATGCACAGTAAGAGTTGAGAATCACTGAGATTGTATTTAACCTATATTCTTTCCACTGCATCATCACAGCTAAATACAATGTAAGCTCTCAAATTTGTTTGTGCATTTGTTTTATCCTCTCTTTAGACAGTAGGTTCTTTAGGAGGAGGGACTCACCTTTCAAATATCTTTGGTTCTTCTTTAGCGTAGTACCTTGAAATGACAGGTTCTCAATGGACAGTTTATGGTAGAAAAAGAGAAGAGCCAAAGGATATAGGCAAAAATATAAAAAGTGGTTACTCCTAGTGTTGAGATGGGTGACATTACTTTTCTCCTTTTTCCTATCTATATTTTTGGTATATTCTATCATGAACACACATTACTTTCATTAAAAAGCAAAGTTATTAAAAAAAAAAACCTGCTAGAATCTTCCAGAATCTCTAGAATAGACAAAGAGCACTGTTTCTCTTTACATAACAAGTGTATTCCTGAAATGTACCCAAGTCATACAGCCTTATAAAAAGAAGTCAGCAGTCTATAGATACTCTCTGGTTAAGCTTTGACTGGTATTTGTTCCTAATAATTCACTTTTCTTTCTGCAATTCCAGTGTTTCCTATTTGTTCCAACTCCTGACCCCAAGTGATTAATGATCAATAAACCAATATTTAAATGTCCCAAGTTATATCTTTTTACAGACATAAATTTACTCATTCTTTTAACAAGTAATTTATTGTGCGGCTGCTTCTTATATAACACATTAAAGAAAGAACTACTGTCCTTACTCTCCGGGAGCTTACAATCTAATTAGAGATACATGGGATAGAATGATATATTTCTGGCACAGATAATAAGTACCATAGGAATGCAATGTAAAGAAAAGTTACTTTGTGTTGACTGGGGACTAAGTGATGAACAACATAAGGAAAGGTAGAAAAGAACAAGCCATGTTTAGGAGTAGAGTGCCTGGCTAGAGAAGACAAACTGAACAAGAAAAGTGGCATTCATAGAAATTTAAAGTGGGATGAGCCTTATGTACCTTCGAATGTAATCCTTCCTATTGCAAGTGTATTCATCCTTTACCTACCAGTTTAAGCCCTAAAAGCCGTAACTCCTCCAAGCAGATTCTCTCCATAGCTTTTGGTCCCTGGAGTTACAGACTTCCCTGCAGTCTATTAGGACTCTAAACATCTGAGTATGACTGATCTTTTTTTTTCAGGCAACCCAAATAAAGACATTTAAAAAACTGTAAACAGGTATAAAAGTGTTATTTAATATAGTTATTCTCCAATTCTTTCACTAGTAATCTTTTACAAAACTTGTAAACCTAATCGTGCCACACCCTGCTTAAAGCCCTTCAGTGATGTCCCATTTTTCTTACAAAAAAAGGCATAAATCTTTTAAATGACCTACAGCTCTGACAATGTCTGGTCCCTGCTTACTACTCTTTTTGTTTCTGAAGGAGATAAATGTGTCACCTATCGCTGAGCTGCTTCCTCTGGAGCTATCCTCTACTCCTAATTTGGCCTAGTTAGCTTCTACTCAACCCAAATCTGTTTTTTTGTTTTTGTTTTTGCTTACTCTCAAAGAACCGTGTTCCTTTAGGTTAGAGAATTCATCTCGGTTTGTGTTTTATGTATCATTGGTTTGATTCTTTAACTGATTCTCTCTCTCTCACTAGAAAATAAAGTCCATGATATCGGGGACGTTGTCATTTACATGCCTGGGAATACCAGGCAATCAGCTGATACTTGTTGAATGAATAATTGTTGTTAGATTGTCTCCTCCAATTACATAGCAGGCAGTCCAGTGCCTACTTTGGCTCTGCTTGTCTGAAAAAGCATTTTACTAACTTGTACCTATTAAGAGACTCTCGACAAACAACTGCGCACTGCCCAGAAGGGCCTCGAATTTAAACAGGAAGTCGTTATGTCACTTCCACGGGCCTCGCGCTAGACTGGGAGAGTGGCTCTGGGGTGGCTGGAGGAAGGGACCCGCGGCGCGCGGATGAACTAGCCCGACGAGAATTCAAGTCTCCAACCAAAGCGTTTTGCCTCTGAAGTATTCCTCAATCTCGGTCAGCTTAGCTTCTCCCGCGCAGCTCGAGCGGAGCTCTGGGGGGACGCTAAGCAAACGCTTTGGCCAAAAGGAATACAGACCCCCCGACCCCCAAGATCCGCACTCTCCCCCCAACGGCAGTCCCAGATCTTGGAACTGGGCAGTCTCGAGCCGGCACCTACCTCCCGAAGCAGCTTTAGGTCCCCCTGCTGGATCTCATACAGCTGAATGACGCCGGTGCCGCGTGCGAAGTTGCCCATGGTCACAAATTTGGCGCTGCAGGGCACCCACTTACAGTCAAACACCGTGTAATTGAGGCCCTTCTGGATATGGGTGATGATCTGAGGCTTCTCGAAGGCCGACATGGTCCAGCCGATTGATTTCGCCTCCGCCAACAGGCACACTGCCGACAAATCCTGACAAAACACTAACCTGGAAACCAGACTCCAAACGTCAAGAATAGTTTGTCCCTCCCGCTTGCCGTACGCGCCCGCAGACGCCCTAGCAAGTTGGTTTTAGGTGTCTCAGATAATGCCGGATGCTCTACTGAAGGCACAGAAGATTTTTCTTCACCAACAACACAGACTTGTTTATGCCTTTACCTTTTACCTTTAGTACATATACAGGTTAGAGATTACAAAAATTTTGGCTGCGAGCGGCGGGGCAGAGGGCGACCATAAGAATCAGTCATATTTTAGGACAGCCCTTCCCCCTGCCCAACAAACACACACAAACTCCTGCTCCAGGTCCCCTGCCTGGGACTTCTTAGGAAAGGGGGCGGAGCCCTAGGGCTGGTTGGCGAAGGCTGGGTCCTGCGAGGCGCGCCTGCGCTGTGCAGCCCAGCACGTGTTCGAGCAGCAAGCTTCCGCTGGAGTTTCTTGAGGATGCAAACCGAGATGGAGGCACAGAGTCCCTTGGCCGAGGCCGGCTTCACCCAGGTCACCCGAAAAGGTGGCCGGCGGGCGAAGAAACGGCAGGCTGAGCAGCTGTCCGCACCGGAGGAGGGCGGGGACGCGTCCCGCATGGACACCGAGGAGGCCCGGCCTGCCAAGAGGCCCGTCTTCCCGCCCCTCTCCGGGGACGGGTTTCTGGTACTGGCGGGGACCGAGGGACAGGAACGGGGCAGGGGCCAGAGGCGGGTCAGGACGGTGGCCTCTGGGTGATGTTGAAGCTTCTTCTGGCATGAAGCTCTTAGAGAGGTGACTCTCCTGATGTTTAATTCGTCCAGTTAAAGGGGTGTTTTTGATAATCAGCTGTTGTTTCATATCTCCACCCACCCCCTATTCCTCCAGACAACTCCTGAGTTGTGTTTTCTTGTATCATAGGGTGGGAAAGAAGAAACCAGAAAAATTCCAGTCCCAGCTAACAGATATACTCCCTTAAAAGAGAACTGGATGAAGATATTTACACCTATTGTGGAGCATTTGGGACTTCAGATACGCTTTAACTTGAAATCGAGGAATATAGAAATCAGGGTGAGGATAATGTTAACTATTTTCAAATATACTGCGGTTTCTCTTTTCTACGGGGATGAAAAGGTATGAATAGACTTTCCTTAAGGAGGCTTATTTTGAATGATTTTCTGCCAGTTTTCTAATATATTTTAGTGTTTGAACCTCTCAAATGCCTTCAAAATTTGCATACAACACAATTATTAGTTGAACTCATAAGTTCGGTCTGAAATCATACTAAAATACCAGCTGTGTCTTAGAAGACTTTTAATAATGTTCTGTTTTAATTGAGAAAAGGCTTAGTAAAGAGGTTGTCATGTTTCAGAAGTATTTAAATAAGCAACCAAAGTATTTGCTGCAGTACAGGTGCTATATATTTTAGTGGTATTTTTTTGAAAAAAAAAAGTATTAAGTGTAAATTATGTATAAGTGTGTTTATTTACTTTTTCATTTGTTCATTCCATGATGTCAGTCTAGGAGTTAGACAAAAGTAGTAAACTTTGGGGTATTTTGGTTTTTTGTTTTTAATTAATTATTTATTTATATTTGGCTGTGTTGGGTCTTCGTTGCTGCATGCAGACTTTCTCTAGTTGCAACGAGCGGGGACTACTCTTCGTTGCAGTGCGCGGGCTTGTCACTGTGGTGGCTTCTCTTGTTGGGGAGCACGGGCTGTAGGCGCGCCGGCTTCAGTAGTTGTGGTGCATGGGCTCAGTAGTTGTGGCACACAGGCTTAGTTGCTGTGCGGCATGTGGGATCTTCCCAGACCAGGGCTCGAACCCGTGTCCCCTGCACTGGCAGGCAGATTCCTAACCACTGTGCCATCAGGGAAGCCGGGGTGGGGGCGGTTCAGGGTGCCAATTTTGTATCAAAATCAGTGACCAAAAGTAATTATATCTTCCTTTTTAACGATTCATTATCAGGACTGGTATAGACTCATCTCTGTTGAAGGACTAGAATAATGGAATAAAGCAGGGAGGCACTGGTCTAAATAGTTGGCAAAGTTTAAAATACAGAACTTGACAGTAGAATTCCTCTTTGTTCCCATTGGCACTTTCATTCAGGTTTGTATGGCTTTCTGCCAAAACCTCTTGTTTGCTTATAAGTGTCCTTTACCTCATTGCTTTAAACCTCCTTTCACCACTCCATCCTCTATGCCAGAGCCAGATTAATTTTCTCGGACCACACTGGTTTTATTGATATCTTGGTATCTTCAGTAATTCTGAAAGATAAAAGTTTTTGACTGAATTTGCCTTTCAAGTAGAAGTCTCATTCCCAAGTTCTCTCACCATCTCTTTGAACATTTTTCTGTCCGTCATTATGGATGGATTTGCTCTCTGAAGGCCCTCTCCTCCCTACTCCCTTTTTCTTCCTCAGTTTCATCATCTTTCAGGGTCTAGCTCAAGTTCTTTCTCCTTTACCGTCAGTCCATTTTTCAGTCTTGTCTTCAGGGCCTAAACGTTTATTGTGCTTAACTGTCTTATGAATTGCAGCACCATCAATTTGGATTCCACTGACATTTGTTGATACTGCTTTGTGCCAGACACATAGCAGTGGTTTGGCAGGCACTACGTCATTTTGGTCTTCAGGACAGCCCTATGAGGTAGATGACATACCCCATCTAACAGATGTGAGGAAACTTGCCAAGGAGTTTCTTGGCCAAGGTCATCAGTGCTAGTAGGGACTCTTCCATTCCAACCTCCTTATTTTACAAATGAGAAAACTTAAGACCTAGAGCATTCATGGGACTTGCCTAAAGTCACATATAGAATTGCGACTGGGATCTAGTTTTATATGTGCCATTACACAACCCTGTATGGTTTCAAATTTGTCAAATATGTGGTCTCCTCAACTCAATTGTGAGTGTGTGTGGGGGAGGAGAAATGATGGTTTTGGAAACAGATCTGTGTTCAAATCTTATTTTTTTACTTTTTGGTACTTGAGTTTCCTCAAATACAAAAGTATTTATCTTACTTAAATTTAGGTTGACACGAAGATTAGAGCTATAGTGTGTCAAGCACCTTTGTAGTACACATCATTTACAGGGATGGGCATTTTATGAATAGCACCTGTATCTGTGATTATGGAATAAACTCTTTGAGGGCAGGATCCCCTGCTTAAACCATTCTTGGTAATTAGTACTAGAGTTGTGGCTTTGGGAAAGAAAAATCAGCACAGGAATGATGGTTGAAGTCGGGAGATTAGATCAGGACTCCCAGGGAGACTGCATTGAAGGAGAAGAGAAGAGGACCAGCTTGGGTGGGATGGGCCGAGGATGGAGGTCCTTCAGAATGGGAGCCATTGGAGGAATCTTGCTGGTAACTCCAGAGTCAGATCAGCCTTGGAGTACAGTAAGTCATTTGACAGTCTTTGGGGGGCACTGCCCAGTTCTGGAGTTAGCAAAGTTTTGTTTTGAAAATTAAACACGGTACTTACCAAAAACTGGGTCATAGAGAATATATTGGGGAAGGGTGGTAGCGAAGGAAATTATAATAATTGGAAAGGTCAGTCCTAGTAGTTAGTTAGAATATTATCTTTTTCATTCCGAGCTATAATTTGTGCTCCGTAGCCACACCTTTTTTTTTTTTTTTTAAACAGACTTGTAAAGAAACCAAAGATGTTAGCGCTCTGACAAAAGCAGCTGATTTTGTGAAAGCCTTTCTTCTTGGGTTTCAGGTAGAGGTGAGTGATTTCATGATATCTGAAATGGGGGCTTGGAAAATATGCCATATGACTGTTTTGATGGATTTGGGCTTTTTTTTGTTTTGTTTTTTAATTTGAGTGTTGTAGTTCTACAATTTATGAGAGTTAGCTTAACACTCATTCGCAGGTGCCTGAATGGAAGAGCTTCACAGTGTGTATTTCTGTATTGTAGGACGCACTTGCCCTCATTAGGTTGGATGACCTCTTCCTAGAGTCTTTTGAAATTACAGATGGTGAGTGTATGGTGGTCTTTTCATATGAACTACTGGATGGTACTTTTCTGTTGCTTTGTCTTGTACCTGAGTCTCAGCTTTCCAGTCACATCAGTTGAGTTGTGTTATTAGCAGCTTTTCAAAAATGTGTTTTATGTCTTTCAGTAGGGAAATTTGGCTAATGATTAAACTTCCCATGGAAGTGGGTGATGCTGGGATGGCTTCCCTCCTGAGGTCTTGCTTTTCTCATTTAGTTAAGCCCTTAAAGGGAGACCACCTGTCGAGGGCAATAGGAAGAATCGCTGGCAAAGGAGGAAAAACCAAATTCACCATCGAGAACGTGACACGGACGCGGATAGTTCTGGCTGATGTGTAAGTATGTGATCTTGAGAAAATTATTGTCATAATTTATAGTTGATCGTTTGCTGGTTTCAAGAAGTGATAAAGATTGTATTTTACGTATAACGTAGCCACTAAATCTTTGTCAGGATATGGTTCTGGATGAATAGTTACCTACTTTGAAAACAGATTTCGTTGAGAAAATCTTAGATATTATAGCCTTTTTCTCAATTAGTAATGAAGGAAATGTTTAGAATCACTGTTAAAAGAAATTATATGACAGGTGAAGATTGAAATAGTATCTCAGGAGAATCTATTAAATCAGTAGAGGAGAGCAAGGAGTAGGTGTGTTGAATGCCATCGTGAGACTTTCCTTTAAAAAAGAAAAACATAAATGTATATACACACACATGCACGTATATATAAAGGCCTTTCATAAAAGGAAGGTGACCATTGCACATTGTGGGAAAAACTAGAGAGCAGTTATATGTGAACATCAATAAGATGATACAGGCTTAAAATAAGGGTGCAGGAAGTCAAGCTGGGATTACCCTTCCCTGCCGGAGGTTGAAGCCGCTCTGTTGCCAGTTTGGGGTTACTGGCAGATGGCGCAGAGATTATATAATGCCGTGAAGTTGGGAAACGAAGCAGTTGACTGAGAGGAGGAGGGACCTGCCTACTGCTAAATCCAGAAATAATTTTATTTAAAATCATCTCATCTTTGCTCTGAACCAAAGTACTCACCATTATTTTCGAATCTGAATTTTAGACTATTTTTTATACTGTAAATAGAAAACTGTTAACACTATATTGGTGGCCCTGTTTACCTGAAGACAGGTGTGTTATAATTTTGACCTTTTATGACTTAAGCCTGGAGTTGGGACCACGGAGCCATGGGAAAAACTCTTTTGAACTAGAAATTTCAAAAATTGAAATGTTTACCACACTTTAAAATATCATAAACAGCCCTAAAAGTTTTTGTTAATTTAGAAATTTTAAAATGTAACTGATTTGCTAGTCCAATTATGGTTAACGCATCATATTAAGTTTATAATTTATAAATGTATCAGTGTATTTCTAAGGGTTAACTTAAAATTTACTCATTGAACTAATTTTTTAAACAGCTGTATTACAGTGTGGTTTACATACAATTAAAGTCACCTGTTTTAGGTATATAATTCAATGGGTTTTTGGCAAATACTCTGCAGTCCTGTGATCCCACTGTGCTCATTTCCATCAACCCAAAAGTTCCTTGTGCATCTTTGCAGCCCCTCCCAATTCCCAGGCAATCACTCATCTCCTTTCTGTCACTATGGTTTTGCCTTTCCTCGAAATTCATATGGGTGGAAATACACAATATGTAGTCTTTGATATATGGCTTCTTTTAATTAGCATGTTGTTTCAAGTTTCTCCATTTTGTTGGGGGTTAGTAGTAGGTTTTTTTTCAGTGCCAACTACTGGCAGAGAAATGTACTGTCTTGCAGTTTTTGCTGTAAATAGGCTAATTGGAATCCACATGTTCAACAATTTATATTAGTTGTGATACAGCCATAAGATGGACTGTTATGTACCCATAAATGTTATTTTTGATGAGTTGCTGAAAACCTGGCAAAGATCACAATAGGATGTGAACAAAATATAAAACTGAAAACCATTTGTTCCAGATATATTCAGGATATCAAATGGGAAAGAATGTGACCTATATGTCCTGGGACCTGTATGCCATTCCAACCACTGCCCCATTGCTTTGGTTGTTTTAGCAGCAAAACTACTCACACTGTATGTATCCTTGCTTCTGTATCTCCTCATCTTTCATGCTGTACTTCACAGAATTTTGTTTTTATCGAAGTTACACATACACATACTTTAAAATAATTCCTCCTGTCTGCTTCCATTTCCCCCTCCTCTGAGGGAGGAAATTTCAAGTCTTCAAGTTCAGCTAGCTGACTTGTAAAAATCATTTTTCCTCTGTATTTCCAAATATCTTTGTATAGCAGCTTAATTTTTCCCCCTCAGATTCACTGTTGCTTTTCTCCTGTGAAAGATGAAGATTCCTCTTTTGGACTTCCCCACCTCCGCCCACATGCTCAACCTTTCCAGCGCTCCCGTTTGCTTGCCCCTCCCTTTACACTGTGGGTTTGGTTCGACTCAAGCTCAGTATTACCTGAGCATGAAATCGGTGCTCAGGGTATTAACAGCTGAGCCACGTGGTGTACTGTGGTTACTTTATCTGTCCTCTGCAACTTTGTTGTCACATGAAGAAATAATTCTTATGTTTCTGTGTGCTTTCTCAATATTTCAGTGTACTAATTGAATAGAAAGCCATACATCGTCTGTATCTCCGCTTGGTGGACTCAGATGCATCAGACATTTTAGAAATCTCTCCTGGAGCCTTCTGTTCCAGAAGCACTGCTACCCTCTGCCTGGCACACAGTTGCCATCCCGGCTCCTTCTTTCACCATTGCCCCTTTGGTGTTTGAATCCCTTGGTTCTTGGATTCTTTGTCCTGCGTCCTCCTTGTTTTGGTGGTAGGTAGTCCTGGAGCTCGCTTAGCACAGGAAGGACATTTTGTGAGACCTGGTTGGGAAGATGTCTTCTATTCTGGCCGAGTATACAAATCTGTTGTAACTCATTCTCATTCAGAATTCCTTCCTGCAACTTCATCTTCTAATCCTTCTATTCAGTTTTCTTAACATCCTGTTGTCAATTCATGAGTGCCTGAAAATTGCTTTTCTAATCTCACTGGTTTGGGGGTTTATTTTGGTTTGTTTTTCTTCTTTTCTCCCTAGAGTTTCTGTTTCTGTACTGCTTTATTCCGCTTGCTGGTTGTGCCTTCTACTCTTTTGCACTGGGTGCTTTCCTCGGATTCTGGTTCCTCAGTGTGGGCGTCATATGTTAAGGGTGGGGCCGTAAGGAGCAGACTAGAAACCTGGGCTCGGGATGCCTGTGGGTGGGCTAGGGGCGGGGGGCTGGTGGCCTGTAGGCTTCACTTAGGATGATTGCCAGCCTGTTTCTTTGGGGAAGCCCTGATGTCAGCATCTTTAGTCTTTCCCAATGAGCAGGCCAGGCTCCCCAGAGAAGTATTCTCCAGTCTCTCTGCTGACAGACTCTGGGAGCCCAGTCACGAAGACAGTTGGAAGTCTCGTGGCTCATCGTGCAGACGTTTGCTTGACATTGCCCCTGTTTTCGTCATGGTGCTCCTACTTCCACTGTGCCTCGTGCCCCTGGTCCAGCCCCCAGGGCTTTCACCTTCTGCAGTGAGCAGCCCCACCCCTTAATTTTACCAGAGTTACAGAGGGGTAGTAAGGTGGTTGCCTGGTTGCCCGGAGTGGGGAAGGAAACCTGGGGATCATCCTGAACAGACTTAACTGATTCTCTTGTTTTTAGCCTCGTTTTTACCCCAATTTCAGAAATGCCTGAGCCTTTGGAAGGGAGAGGGTTCTGTTTGACGTCCCCCCCTGAAGATTTTGGTGTCAGTTTACTAAGTTTACTGATAGTTTGGAAGATGGGCTCAGAAAAGCAAAATGCTATGTTCTCAGTCTAATTCGAACTATTTGGCAAGGAATGCCCAGTAAAAAGGTCTGGATGATCTCCAGAGAGTAGTGAAGAAATTTAGAGAATCTTAAATCTTTTTTCTTTCTTTTAATTTATTTTTATTTATTTATATTTGGCTGTGTTGGGTCTTCGTTGCCGCGTGCAGGCTTTCTCTAGTTGCAGCAAACGGGCTTCTCATTGCGGTGGCTCCTCTTGTTGTGGAGCACGGGCTTTAGGCACATGGGCTTAGTAGTTGTGGCTCGTGGGCTCTAGAGCGCAGGAGTTGTGGCGCACAGGCTTAGTTGCTCTGCAGCATGTGGGATCCTCCCGGAGCAGGGCTCGAACCCAAGTTCCCTGCAGTGGCAGGCGAATTCTTAACCACTGCGCCACCAGGGAAGTCCCTAAATAATCTTCAGAAAGCTTTGCAGTTAAAATACAAATATGTTTTAACTAAGTACAGTATTACCTGCATCTGGGTACTTTAATATTCCCAGCTCTGCCAGTGCGTCATCTCGGACAGGTGTTTTGATTTCTCACTAACTTGTTTCCTCGTATGTAAAGTGGGAATAGCTTCTGCCTGATAAAGCTCATGCAAGGATTAAATGAGAACATGTATGTAAAGCCCTAGCGTATTGGAGAGCACTCAGTGGATAGGAGCCATTATTCACCAAGGGTCTTAAAGAACTGAGTTGTTTTTTAATTTTTTATGTCTTTCCCTCATAATTTTTTACTGGGATGTAATGCACTTATCATTCCCCTTCAGAGTGGTTTTCGGTATACTTACAGAGTTGTGCGGCCATCACCACCACCTTTATTTAGGCATCTGTATCTATCATGAGTTTCCAGAGTTTCTGGATCATGGGACTTCGTTAAGGAAATGCTTTTTGTTGCTAACCTGTCTCACTTTATCTCTTGCAGGAAAGTTCACATCCTTGGTTCTTTCCAAAACATCAAGATGGCAAGAACTGCTATCTGCAACCTCATCCTGGGTAACAGCAGTTTCTTCCTATGTTGTCTTCTCTGAAGGAAAAGAACAGGGAATTTAGGAACTCAGATCCCATTTGCAGGTCACTTTAGGGTCAGGGTGATGATAAAGGTAGCAAGCAGAAACTCTTGGGGGCTGGCAAATGTGGGCCCAGAGAGAAAGCAGGAATCTTTTTGCTTGGATTCCATCTGCAAACCCGAGAGAAAGGGTTTATTGGATTACATTGCTTACATCGTCGCCGCGTCCCCTGATGAGGTGCGCTAGGGAGCCCTTCCAGAATAGCAGGCAGCATTGTTTTAGGTTCAGCCAAAGGGGAGCTGCTGAGCAGCATCAGTCAGTCATCTTAATCGATTGACTTAGTCCCATTTTCAAACCACACTTGCGGTCAGAGCCATGGGTTGTAGCGCGTGCTCGAGAAATGTGTGGGATCCACCGCGGTGCCCAGGTCAGTTGTGCCCAGGTCTGACTGGCTGCTTTTCGAAACGTTTTGACAACTCGGAGTCTTTGGCTGTTAGGATTTAAAATGTGCTTTGGAGAATATTTATGTGGTTTCCTTTATGGTTCTTTTGTCGATTTAAGGTAGATCCAGTGGAAAATGTCCCTGTCCTTTGTAGAGTTGCAGACCATTTTCCATGTAGCATCTATATGTATACGTGTGGATAATCTTTTTTATTTTCTCCTGCAGGAAATCCTCCATCAAAGGTTTATGGCAATATCCGTGCTGTGGCTAGCAGAGCGGCAGACCGATTCTGATTTCAAATCAGAGACTTTTTACCTTGTCTTTGAATTCTAGAGAAAATGCCTTTCCCCTCTACAAGTGGTCACCAGACACCATGTGAAGAACTTTTCAGTCGTGGATACCATTATTTATACTAGCACATTAAGTATAATTTATTTTTTCCGTTTTAAATCACATATCGATTTGCATAGTTTATAATCCTCTCATTTGGAGGGAAACTTATTTAAAAAAACAGTTCTATATTAGCTTCCAAGTTTTTTGTTTATAAATTTATAAAAAGTTATTTCTTCTCTATGAGTTGTAATTAAAAGAATTATCTCAGAAAACCTCTCTTGACTTGTGACCCTTAATACTGGATGGTGTGTGAATATTTTAGACCCAGGTCATAGCAGCAGTTTGGATATACTCTGTGGACCAAGGAAGGCTAATATTTGTACCTATTTTTGCAGTTTGTAAAATTAAAGATTACATCACAAGGTTGATGTGAGGAAGGAGTTTTATTTTTTAAATAAGTGTTTAATGAAAGCAGTCAGACCTTACCAGTGTTTGGGTGTACTTCTTCTAAGTAGTAAAGGTGAAATATGATAAAAGAATATTTTTACCCCTAAGAAAACTACTATATTCTGCAAATGTAATAGATTGTTTTAACAGGTGTCTGCCTAAATGTTCTGATTTATATTATGCATTGTTTTAATGAAAGGAACCTACTTCATTAAACTGATGTTATTCTCTTGTACATTTCTGCAACCCTTGACCAAAACTTTAATGATAGGAGTATTAGAAAGTACATGTAAGAACTAGAAGAAGTGTTGTTTTAAAGTATTGCTATTAAGCTTTCTATTAGTTACATGTGCCACTATCCCAAACTATTTTGTACATTGCATTGGGATTAGATATACTTAATATTACAGTGGGAATCCAGTGGGAAATTGCTGGAAATGTCCCAGCAGTAATTTTTTTATCCTTTGGCAACACAACAGCATGGAGAGTGTATGTGTATGTTGATATCATTTTACTCACATCCTTTTGAAAAGGAATTTGTCGGGACTGCCTTATTCTGGAGCCTGCAAAGGCTTCAGGAGGTACTTGCCTACCCGCCACGCTTTGTCCGGGAAGTTATATGCAAAATTGTGAGTGCTTAGGGTGTACTTTTCTAAGGAATGGGTCCACAGTTTTAATCAGGTTTCCAAAGCGCTTGGCTGAGATGAACCATCGCTACGTAACCATAAACATTTTGTGCTGATTCTTAAAGAGCATCATTTTGATTGGAAAAACACGGGTTTTCTATGTTAAAGTGAAGTAATCTTCTGGTATTTACTTCCTTTTGAAGATTTCTTACGTAGTTAGAACTATCAGTAATATAAGAGCAAATATATTTCTTGGGCAGTTGGTAAAATTTGGGATACTGAACTTTTACCGTCTTGAGTTTTGGGCCTCTCCCTGGGCAAACATCCCCAACCCCCAGGGAATCAGCACTGCTTGGGGCTTGAAAGGGAAACAAAATGTTAGAGGAAACCCAGCTAATTCCTGGAATGGAATAATGAAGAAAAAATAGAGGTAATAAATCTGACTATATCACAGTGGTAGTTGCAGTGGGAGTTGATCTTGACCTGGATCAAATCACTTCTTCAAATTCTTCTCTAAGGCCTGGACATGAAATCTAATAACCAAAAACCTCAGCGATGCTTATCCGTATTTCTGTGGCGTCTGTCATGCTAACCTGTGATTATTTTAGTGTCTGCCTCCCACCCTAAAGCCTCCGATCTTTAGATTCTCAGTATCTAGTACAATTTCGGACACATCATGTAACAGTTTATTAACATATTAATTGCTACTTGGCTGGGGAATGGGCATGAAAGAGGAGTATTTTCTTAGATATTCAGTGGCCGGTAAGGGAAGAGAACTTGTTTCCTCCTAGTCGTTCCAGAAGATTTGGACTCCAATTCTCATCCTATCTAGAGAAGAAAGCTCATGTTCATTGAGCATCTGGGAAAGAGACCTGATTTTCCTGATTCCAGAACCATGGGACAGCATGCTTAATGTTAGATTATTGAGTACACGGTGACAGTGTACATAACCATCCTACAGCTTGCAAAATGCTTGGATTATACAAATGTTAATTACTCATTTGGTGAAAGAAATCATTCAGAGACACCAGTAATCTGAAGGAGGTTTGGGAGAGCAAGGACTCGCTAATTTGATCTGGCTAGCTGATAAATTTATAATGCCCAAGGTTAGTAAAAGGTGGAAGTGGCAGTGGACTTTAGCTTAAAATGTGAGCTAATTTAATGAGCGATTTTTGAGCATGTGGGAATTTCTGAAGACTAAGAATTGTTTGAAGAACTTCCCTGGTGGTGCAGTGGTTAAGAATCCGCCTGCCAATGCAGGGGACACCGGTTCAAGCCCTGGTCCGGGAAGAGCCCACATGCCGCACAGCAACTAAGCCAGTGCGCCACAGCCACTGAGCCTGTGCTGTAGAGCCCGTGCGCCACAACTACTGAAGCCCGCACGCCTAGAGCCCATGCTCCGCAGTAAGAGAAGCCTGCACACCGCAGCTAGAGAGAGCCCACGTGCAGCAGCGAAGACCCAATGCAGACAAAACAAAAATCCATTCTATAAAACAAAAATTGTTTCAAGACATATATGAGCTTGAACAGCATTTCTTTCTAAGTCCTGGAAAGTATCCAGAAAGATTTCTACCATCTTGTCTACTCTTTTCTTTTAAACTGTGGTAAAATAGACATGATTCACCATTCTAGCCATTTTGAACTGTACTGCTCAGTGACACTAAGTACGTTCTCATGCAACCATCATCCACCATTTCCAGAACTTATCTTCCCCATCTGACAGTGTACCCATTCAACACTAACTCTACCTCCCCCTCCTCCTGGCCCTTGGGAACCACCATTCTACTTTCTGTCTCTATGAGCTTGACAACTCCAGGAACTTATATAAAAAACACAGTATTGGGCTTCCCTGGTGGCACAGTGGTTGAGAGTCCGCCTGCCGATGCAGGGGACACGGGTTCGTGCCCCGGTCCGGGAAGATCCCACATGCCGCGGAGCTGGGCCCGTGAGCCATGGCCGCTGAGCCTGCGCGTCTGGAGCCTGTGTTCCGCAACGGGAAAGGCCACAACAGTGAGGCCCGCGTACCGCAAAAACCCCCCCAAAAAACAGTTATTTGTTCTTTTGTGACCGGCTCTTTTTTCTTAGCATGTCTTCAAAGTTCACGTGTGTTACAGCATGTGTCAAAATTTCCTTTTATGGCTGAGTAACATCCCATTGTATGTATATACCACATTTTGATTATCCGTCATGGATGTTTTGGTTGCTTTCAAGTTTTGGCTACTGTGAATAATGCCGCTATGAACACGGGTGTGCCAACACTTCTAGTCCCTACTGTCACTTCTCTTGGGCAAGTATCCAGAAGTGGAATTTCTGGGTCATATGGTAAATCTGTGTTTAATTTGAGGAACCATTATACCATTTTTCCACAATGACTACACCATTTGATATCCACACCAGCAATGCACAACAAGCCTTCCAGCTGCTTCATATCCTTACCAACACTTTTATTTGGCTGATGGCAGTGCTGACGGGCCTGAAGTGGTATCTTGTTTTAGTTTGCATCTCCATAATGACTAGTGATACTGAGCATCTTTTCACGTGGTGGTGGCAATTTGTGTATCCTTCTGGAGAAATATCTCTTCACGTCCTTTTGCCCACTTTTTAATCAGGTGGTTTTTGAGTCGTAGTCTTGACATATTCTAGATAGCAATCTCTTAGCAGATACACGATTTACAAATGTTTTCTCCCATTCTGTGCATTGCTGTTTCACTTCGTCATCTTTTCTACTCTTAAGACCATTAGAACTAGGTAAAGAAAGGGAGACCTAGGGTTTAAAATGTTAACTATTGGTTTAGGCCTAACTAACCTATACTCCTAGTTCAAAGAGCCAAGGAATCCAGTGCACAGTATCTCATAACTAGTGCATGCCTGACAATATGGGTGTTTTGGGTATAAAACACCGAGAGCCCATAATTCACGTGGGCCAGGTACATCATTTCCCGTCACAAGAACCTCAAGTGCTTATTACAGCGCAGGCATGGCGTGGGAACCCTCCAGAGTTGCTGAATGAATAAAAGTCTCAAAATTATACTAATGCTTACCTTTTATGAAGTGAGAAAGTAGTGGATAGAATTTAACATCACAACCTGTAGAAACAAGGTGTCTCCTATTACCTAATTCATTGATTACGTATTCATTAAACACTAAGAACTAGGCAGAATCTAGACAACCAGGTCTGTCAGTGAACAAGGGACAGAAATCCCTGCCCTTGGGGAGCTTTCATTCGTGTCATTTCCATAACCGGGGAAGACAAATACAAAATGCTTAAGTGAATCATGTCAGAAGAGGTTAAATGCTATGGAAGAAAACAGTGGGGTAAAGGAGAATCAGGTGTATTAGTGTGTTTAAATGGTGGCCAGGAGAGTTCCTGTTGAACCAGGACACGGCTGAAACCCTTGGAAGCATTCCCTGTGGGTAGCCTGGGGGGCGAAGAGACGGTGCACAGGCCTACAGAGGAAGCACGCCAAAGGCTCGGGGAAGCACGGAGGCAAAGGAGGCTGGAAGCAGAGGGAGGGTGACACACCGGGTTCTGCAGGTCACTGTGATGACTTGTGTTTTCACCCAGTGACAGAGCAGACTTACTTATGGCTCATAGTCAAAGATCAAATGTCAACTTACTAGAGTTTTAAAAAAAATCTGAAAGAGTGAAAAAAGACTATCCAACGGCCGGGAAAGCCTGAAGACCACTGTGAATACACTCAATCAAGTTTCAAATATTTTATTTTCTTATTCATACAGTATGAAGTTTTCTAAAGATCCCACAACATGATGTTTCATGCAGAAGAAAAACTAAACATTCAACATAAACCATCCCTCCCCACCCACCCACGCACGCTAAAAAAAAAAAAAAAAGAAAAAGAAAAAGAAAAAACCCTCAGTCCCCAGTAAGGAAATAATGTTTGCACTATTTTTCTGTAATGCCAGCCAAGATATGCACAAGCAAGAGAAATAGAAAGCATTTGCTAAAATATTTGTAACAAATACTTATGTACAAAAAATTCACAAAAGACTAGTTCCCCCCCTTGAAGCAGAGCACATGGCAGTTGACACTGGAACAGATCAAACCACTGGCTGGGACTATAAGCCACGTACTGATCCAGAGGAAGAAAGTTACATGTAGTGGAGATTTTCAGTTTGAACATTAACATTTCCAAAGTTTGGCAACATTATGTTTTAAAATTATGCAAATTATGTAAACAAGAGGTACATACTTTAAATCGATCTACATGCAAAACTCCATGTCATGCAAGGACACCAAGCACCGGGATTTCTCTCACAGACAGAGCCCATGGCGTGCAGCACTCAGCTGAAGGAACAGCGATGGCAGGCGGGTGTGCCCAAATTAAGATTCTT